GCTTGCTCAATGGCCTGATTCGTTGAGCTGGAAATTAACCAGGACTGGAGAGTTCACGGTTAAATCAATGTACTTAGATGTCATCAATTCTAGCTCTATTCCCTTCTCCAGACATGTTTGGAATGTCAAAGTCCCTCTGAGAGTTAAAGTGTTTATGTGGTTTGTACATAAACAAGTTATTTTAACCAAAGATAATTTGACAAAGCGCAATTGGACCGGCTCTAAGAGATGTAGTTTTCGTGATCAAGATGAGACTATCAAACACCTCTTTCTGGATTGTCCTATGGCGAAGGTTCTTTGGCGGACTGTTCACATTGCTTTTAATATTACTCCTCCGAATAATATCAACACGTTATTTGGGACGTGACTGGATGGGATAGAGACCCAAACAACTAAACACATTTGTGTAGGAGTATGTGCTTTACTTTGGGAAGTCTGGAACTACAGGAATGATTTGGTTTTTAACAGAACAACAAATACTCATTCTTTGCAGGTCATCTTCCGAGCAACTACGTTGATTCATATGTGGTCGCTACTCACTCGGACGGAGGCCAGGGAGCATTTGCTTACTGGATCTGCCCGATGGGAGATGGTAGCTCGGGCTATATTCAGCCGATTTGGATGGCGGTCATGTAATAGGATAGACAATTAGTTTTCCTATCTTTATTTTGCATGCCGGCTGTGGCTCTTATTTTGCTGCTCTTTGTGAGCCATTTGGGGACTAGTGTGTAACGAAGTTACTGACCTTTGTTGGACCTATTTGCTTTTAATGAATGTGGCCGTATGCATCTTCATCATGCAGAGGCCGGGGCTGCGCCCCTTTTCCAAAAACAATGTATCCCGCTGAAGATCAAAGTTTTCCTTTGGTAAATGTTTAGTAATAGACTCCCTACGTCTGTTAACGTGGCCAAAAGACACGGCCCGGCCATGGGTCCGTGCGTGCTGTGTGGGAATCTCGAGGATGCGAATCATGTTTTCTTTACTTGCCCGCTAGGTTTGCCTGGAGTGCGGTGCGTGAGGCCGCCAGCGTCCAGTGGGACTTGCGTTCTTCCACCGAGCTAGCAGGCTTGTTTGACGCAGTCCAAGGGCAGGGAAAACACGTGATGTGGAGTTGTGTTGGAGCACTCCTCTGGGCACTATGGCTCATTCGTAATAAATTAGCGTTAGAGGGCATTTTCCCTTCGCATCCGGCTAATGCTATCTTCAGATGCTCTCTTCTTCTGCGGCATTGGAGTCCGTTGGTGAGGCAGAAGGATGCTGAGATGATGAAGAACACTCAAGACCGACTACATCAAGTGTATGTGATGGCCAGGGAGCCAGCGGCTACTTCCTAGCTGGAGTGCCCTTTTGTGTTTCGCGAGCCTGCGTGCTTTGCTTTCCAGGCCTTTAGGCCTTGTATTTGCTCGCAGCCCGGCTTAGAACCCTCCAGACTTGCCTGTCATGTTTCGCCTAGGGCTTTTGGGTATTATTGCTATCTGTTTCTATGTTGTTATGATACTCTGCCTGTTCCGTGGGCTTTATTAATTTAGAGCCGGATGCCTCTAGCGTCTTCGTTCTAAAAAAACAGATAACAATAAGTGAAGACATAGTTGAGTAGTATCGATCCTCGTTTGAATCATTTGTCAAGAATGATGAAGTACTCAGTCACATATGTCATGGGATTTGGTGGTTACTTGTGGTACACCAGTACCACAAAGGGTAATCTTCATTCTTACTGACTCGTGTGTGGAGTGAGATCAAGCATAGGGAAATCTTCTTCCACATGACTGAAGCTCCAACTCCTTTTGAATGGTTCCGCGGGAAGTGCAGAGTGCCATGTATAGCCAAAGGTATGCTGCTCTTGTTCAATTTTCGATGTTTCACTAGAGTTAGGAGTGAAGTTTGACATTCGCAAGAGCTGTACTGGCCCTAAATCTCATAATATCATTCAGGAAAAAAAGTGAGCGAGAGAAACTTAAAAAGGGGAACGCTAACACTCAATCGCTTGAGACTTTATGAAGTCTCAGTCGACGAGATTAGCTGTCCAGTTTCATCGACCTGTTTCAATCGCTGATGTATTCTTCCTTTTCAAAACACACTAGGCCTTCCGCTACGTGGGTTGTGGGCTGTGGCTTGCTGCCCTTTCTTTTGTGCTTGTCTATTTTTATATTCTCATAGTTGTCCCGTGTAAATCTTTGTATGTTTTTTCTTCTTCTTTTTTGCTGGTTGTGTGCACCGTGTATGCACAGAAGAAGAAAGTTTTTTTTTGAATACACAGAAGAAGAAAGTTAATCGGGCAGATGACTCTATGTTTATGTATACACTATACTTGTATACTTGTATTTCCATTTTTTATTTTTTAATCGTTCTTGTTTAGGAAATATGGAACATTTATATTTTTTAGGAACATACATTTTGACATCGGATGAACAATTTTTATTCTCACATGGTGTTGTCTTATTTTTTTTATTCTGAGATGTGGTTGCCTTTTCTACATGACTTTTGTTTTATTTGCTTATTTGTATCCTGTCTATATATTTTTTTGTTTTTTTACTTTGTTTCTTCGTGTATTACCCAAAAACAAATTTTTATTGTGTTTATATGCTATGTGTTTTTCTTTTCTTTTTTCACAGGCGTACACCGTAAAGTTGCATGCCTCACACTAGGCATGCAACTCCAAATGTTGCCCTTGACTGCAACTCACCTTTGTTTTGTCGGAAAATAGTGGGAGAGGGGAGGAGTAGTTGCATATTTTTCACTAAGCATGCAATTGCAAATGTCGCCCTCAACTGCAACTGCATGTCCACACAAGCGACGGGGGCAGTTGCATGTATGATCGTAGGCACGCAACTGCAAGTTTCGCCCCCGACTGCAATTGTATATCTACCCATCCGACTGCAATTGTCCTTTGTTTCGTTGGAGGGTGGCGAGAGATGGGGGAGTTGCATGTTTGACACTAGGCATGCAACTACAAGTGTCGCCCTCGAGTGAAACTGCACGTCAACACACCCGACTGCAACTGACCTTTGTTTTGTCGGTGGACGGCGGGAGAGGGGGTTGGGGTAGTTGCATGTCTGGCGCTAGGCACGCAACTGCAAGTCTTGCCCTCTATTGCAACCGACGCTTGTTTTGCCGGAGGGTGGCGGGAGAGGGATAGTTGCAGTTAATTTGCTCATTTTCCCCTCTAATATGATTTTCATTTCCCATTAGTAGAAATACTGTTCCTTGCATGTATATGAATATTTTAAAAATACATGATCAAGTTTTTTTAAAATAATTAGTGAGCACTTTTCGAATATGCGGTGAACTTTTTTTCAATATGTGATGAATAATTTTCTAAAATTTGTCATGCAATTCTTAATAAATGTTCATGCATTTAAAAAATTGTCCATATTTGAAAACACGTTTCATATTTCTTTTAAACTGTTCACGGTTCTTAAAAAATGATCATGTAATTTTTTGAAAATGCTCACACACTTTTTAAAAAATTGTTCGTGTAACAAAAATGATGTATATACTGTATATACCTATGTGTTTGACCTTTGTCCTTCTGTACTTTAACAACAGCAGGCAACAACTTCATAGCTCGCGGGCAAGCAATAGCAAGTACAAAACTGTTATTATTTTCTTCAATATCTTTTCTTTGTGTTCAAATACTTTGTATCATGAAAAAATGACAATAAGTTACATGACCATATAAAAAACACTACAAGCATGCATCGTATTGCATATACAAGATTTTTTCCGGCAAAAAATAATGCTATGATTTGAACAAAAAATTTACCTCACTAGTTGAGGTTGTAGCTGGATAGCAAAACACATACTCCCTCCGTCCGAAAATACTCGTCGGAAGAATTAATGTATCTAGATGTATTTTAGTTCTAGATACATTCATTTTTAGGCATTTCTCCGACAAGTATTTTCGGACGGAGGGAGTATTATATTTGCAGTCGTACAGCCCAAGTACAAAAAGAGGAAAAAAAATCTGGCAACAAAGCAACAGATCACTGGGGAAAAGATGAGATAAAAGCCCAGTAGAAGTACAAAGCCAGCCCTTAGCAGCACAAACATGCAAACAGTTCAATAAACAAAGCAGGCCTGGTTTGTACAGATGCTGATGTCATATACGTATGTTGATGTCATCAGTCGAGAAGTCTCACTCGAATGAGACCTAGACAAACCCAATTATGTAACTAATAAACGAGATGGAACGATAGTGAAATTGATTGTATATTATTTTTTATTGCCAGGTCCTCCCGTACGTGTATACAGTACATACGTACGTAGACAAGTGCACAAGCAGGTAGAGTTGAGCATGGAGTACAACCGCATGGCCTATGGTCACCAGCACTTATTGCCGTTGCAGTAGTCGATGTTGCACTGGTACCTGCAATACTTATACTGATGTTGACGGGTGGTCGCGCAGGGGCTACATTCTGGGAAGAGGCAGTCGTCGCTGCATGACTTGTAGGATTGGGTGAGGCAGTCACAGCTGCCGCTGCAATTGGCCTTGCACTCCTCGATCTTGGGGGTTCTGCACTGGTCGCAGCGCCTCTTCTCGTTGAAGCATTTCTCGTCGCATGCCCTCGACTCCGGCAGAGAGGCTATGGCCTCTGTGCACGCCGGGTAGCACTCTCTGCTACAGATGTTGCATGGCCGAGGTGGATCCGGCACGGGCGCTGGCGGTATCGCCTCCGGTGGTGGCGTTGACGCCTGTGCCGGTGGTGGTGGTGGTATCGCCTCCGGTGGTGGCGATGGAGCCTGTGCCGGTGGTGGTGGTGGTATCGCCTCCGGTGGTGGCGGTGGCGCCTGTGCCGGTGGTGGTGGTGGTATCGCCTCTAGTGGGGGTGGCGGCGCCTGCGCCGGTAGTGGTGGTGGCATCGCCTCCGGCGGTGGCGGTGGCGCCTGCGCTGGTGGTGGTGGTGCCGGACCAAGGGACGGACAGTCTGCCAAGGAGGGTATGACCAGCAGGGCGAGGACAGCAGCGACGGCGGCCAGCCTCAGAGTAAGAGCGGCTGCACCTGAAGCCATCGCGCCGTCGACACGGCAAGCGAAGGTAGGCTAGAGCTAGCTAGACAAGAAACTCAAGAGAACTGTAACTGGTGTACTCTGCGAAGGAGCCGGTGACGCTTCTTTATAGACAACCAGCTCGACGTGCTACTTGCTAGCCATCACTCAAAGATGCGTAGATGTAGATGTATTACTGTCTAGTGTCTACGTAAACTACACGTTGAGATCTGCGCAAAGCATGCATACATGCATGTTACTACTACGCATCTTGACCGAGCACAGTCCACGCCATTACAAGTTGACTTAATCACTCAAGTTGACCAGGCACGGCTCTTCGATTGGATTCCACAAGACAAGCTCGATCTTACCCATTAGTTTGAGTGAATACGCATGGTTGAAATCCTGCTTTGATTACACCCTATGACAAACCCATAGAAGTACTATGCACGACATGGCTTACTTTGTATATATTATTCCCTCTGTTCCTAAATATTTGTTTTTTTAGAGATTTCAAACGCACTACCAAATACGAATATATATTGACATATTTTAAAATGTAGATTCATTTATTTTACTCCGTATGTAGTCATTTATTGAAATCTCTAAAAAGACAAATATTTAGGAACGGAGGGAGTAGAGGCTAGAGCTAGAGCATGGCATGCAGGGGAGTTGTTTCTGTCGATTGGAGGGGTTACCATTGGTATATCTGAAAGGGCAAACCCCTCTCTAGAGATTTAAAATTCTACCACCTTGCATTTCCATGGAGGGCTGGTGCTAACTACTAAGAACAACTTTGGAAAGGGGTCATTTTGCTGTTTGCATTGCAATAGATTGCAATCCTCCACCACCTTTCACCTGCAAAAAAATAAAAACAAACAAATAAATCTTCCAGCACCTTATTAGCACTACCTCCTTGTTTTTACTCCACATATTATTTATCTTAAGTCAGAAACTTTGTAAAGTTTGACCAAATTTATATTAAAAAAATATCAACGTCTACAATACACATTAAATACAATATGAAATATATTCCATGAAGGATCTATTGATACCGATTTGATCTTGTAAATGTTTATATTTTTTTATAAACTTGGTCAAACTTCCAAATGCTTGACTTAAGACAAACCAAACATGCACACTACAAACAAATGCACAAAGTACATCCTTTTGTGCAGAAAACGAATTTGTCAACCAATTTCTGCACAAAACGATGTATCAATAGATCCATCGTTTGGAAGTTCTAGGGTCTGTTTCGAGATATTCCACATATATAATGCATTGCAATATGACTGTTTCGGTTCTTCCTACCAATTATGTTATTGTGTCCAACGAAAATCTGCATATCTATATTTGCCAAAACAAGTCTGTTATAGGCCGACACAGTCTAAGTAATTTAGTATCTCTTCTCCATTGAGATCCAACCAAAATAGAAAGTCAACATATCTTGAAGTCGAAGGCAACTTGTGACATGAACGACATAGATCTTAACTTGCAAGTTTGATCTTGTAAATGTTGATTTTTTTTTATAAACTTGGTCAAACTTCCAAATGCTTGACTTAAGACAAACCAAACATGCACACTACAAAGAAATGCACAAAATACATCCTTTTGTGCAGAAATTGGTTGACGAATTTCAAGGGGGTTGTGCAAGACCGAAATCCTAGGTTAATGTTTGGTTTGACACTTTCCAAATATTCCACATATATAATGCATTGCAATAGGTCTGTTTCGGTTCTTCCTACTAATTATGTTATTATGTCTAACGAAAACCTGCATATATATATTTGCCAAAACAAGTATGTTACAGGCCGACACGGTCTAAGTAATTTAGTATCTCTTCTCCACTGATATCCAACCAAAATAAAAAGTCAACATATCTTGAAGTCGAAGGCAACTTGTGACATGAACTGCATAGATCTTAACTTGCAAGTTTGATCTTGTAAATGTTGATTTTTTTTTATAAACTTGGTCAAACTTCCAAATGCTAGACTTAAGACAAACCAAACATGCACACTACAAAGAAATACACAAAGTACATCCTTTTGTGCAGAAATTGGTTGACAAATTTCAATGGGGTTATTCAAGACCGAAATCCTAGGGTCTGTTTCGAGATATTCCACATATATAATGCATTGCAATAGGTCTGTTTCGGTTCTTCCTACTAATTATGTTATTGTGTCCAACGAAAATCTGCATATCTATATTTGCCAAAACAAGTCTGTTACAGGCCGACACGGTCTAAATAATTTAGTATCTCTTCTCCACTGAGATCCAACCAAAATAGAAAGTCAGCATATCTTGAATTCGAAGGCAACTTGTGACATGAACGGCATAGATCTTAACTTGCAAGTTGGTACAGTTTGTATAGCTATATGTACCTTGGCTATAGTTTAGTACTCCCTCCAGTCCATATATATGGCCTTTCATATTTTTTGGTCAAACTTTGACCATCGGTTTAACTAATAAAAATACAATGTATATACCTTAAGAACTATAATATTGTGTTTATATTCAAAAGATGTTTCCAGCGGTATATACTTTTTAAGGAACATAAGTATGATTCATATTTCCCGGTCAAATCGATGGTCAAAGTTTGACTTGAAATACGAGGGGATCTGGTATTGGGGGCCTTTACACGCTTCCACGATGAAGCGCGTATTCAAGAGAAATTTGAAAAACATGAAAAGTTCAAATAAGTGTGCACATGCAAATGTTTATGTCATATGTTTTTTCGACAAAGGGTAGATTTTATTGGCTCAAAGTGGAGCATCAGAAGGATACATAACAGAATGAGCACATATCCGACTTCTGCATAGTTAGGATGCACACAACCAACACCAACACAAACATACCAACAACTAGCACTAGTAGAAAAAGGGCCATTCGAACCGGTTCATGAGGGCCATTTGTCCCGGTTCCTGAACCGGGACTAAAGGGTCGTAACTAAAGCCCTATACCTTTAGTCCCGGTTCGAACAGGAACCGGGACAGATGGGGCTCCACGTGGCCGGAGTGGCTTGCCTTTTGTCC